TAATATTTAATGTATGCAGATATAATGTCCCTTTTCCATCGGAAATATTTCCAGTGTCGAATCACCACTACTAGCATCAATTACATAAACCAGTTTATCTCATTGTACACAATTTTCCGTACTGTTCTCGGAAAAATACACCGTCTCCTCCATAAAACAAAATAAAACCACAATAATCACAGTATCAACTTAAATATCACAGCTATTATATCTGCTTACACCTACCATAATAACGAGGCCCCGTATTTTGAAATATATTTCACCAAAACACGAGCCAGAATACCATAGCCTAAAGTTACATAATAAAACTTCCCATTCATTGGATCGCTGTAACTTTCCTTTCGAAATTATGCATCTCAGCGGAGGGAATATAAAAAGGATTAAAATAAAGCAGCACGAGCAAAACCGAGGGTGGGTTCAGGCCGGCGGCGGCAACGTCGTGAAAAAGGAAGTCGAAGATAGGGAAGAAGGGTGTACGCTGCGTGAAAGTTTCGCGTGACACACCGCAACTTGGTGCTATCGTTTCGTCCGCATACACACACAGAGACAAGGTCTGGGGGATCCGGAGGGTCGTGGCGTCGGCCAGGGGTTGTTTGGGATCTATCGGTAGGCCAGATTTCGCCCACTTATGCACGCGAGCCTGGTTGTATCGGTTCACGTTGAAACGTACTGGAATATTCGTGCTGGCCTGATAAACACGTGTAATGGAAGAAACCTACCTGGTCTATGGAAAAGCTTGAGGGTGGATGGAGGGCGATATAGTCGTGACCTCTTCGCGCGTAAGATGATTCCGCGGAAATAATTTTCACTTTACAACCGAACGGTTCCTTGGAACTTGCTGAGAAACGCTGCTGTGCCCGATGGAAGTTACCTGTTACGTAAGTCGACGGGGCGAATAAAGGTGTCAATTGAATCTCTCGAACCTTGCTTCGTTGAATGGATATCGAACGTGGGGGAGTACAATAGAGGGGGGTTGGAGAGGCATACAAGGTTCACGCACGTGGATTTGTAGCGTGTTTGAGAGATGGAGGTAGTTACTTGAAAAGGGGAGGTTTGAATGCACGAGACACGAGGGGAAGGGACCGGTTTCTTGGAGTATTTGAATAGATGTAAACGTTTGATGGTAAGAATTAATACTGCTATCTTTTGAAAGTTATGTAAATTGATTTTTCTTTGGTTCAAGTATCGATTTGTGTGATAATATTAATATATTGGATTGTTTGGAAGATTTGTTGCGTTTCGAGTACAGTGTCTTTGTTGCGTTTTTACTGGACGAAGGAAAAATTGTTTGAGCTGGCGAACAGGTACTACTTTCCAGGTGTGGATTGAATGTGTTTGTTGTGTAAGTTATTCCTTCTTTGTTTTTGTTTCTTGTAAGAAATACAGGCAAAAGTCATTGCGTTCTACCAAACTTGTAGAAAAATTACATTACTTCGGTTAGAACATGCTGTAGTATTTACATAATTAATTAAACTTTGCTTCATCAGATGATTATTGCTTTAGATCGCTAGGATATTCTGTATCGAGAAAAAACTTGGAAAACGGAGTCTATCCGGAAGTACCATAGGTTGAAGAGATTTATTTGTCAAAACAATCGAAGTTGTCTATAACTGCTAGAATGAAATTAGTCGAAAAATCGGAAGGAAATTGTAAAAGAAAGTAGTAAATAATAATATTATAAAAATTCAAAAACATGGATTATAACACTGCTTTCCAAACAGCCCAATACATTCGTAGACGAAATGCAAAATTCTCAAGCCATCGTTTTATAGCATATTTCATTGTATTTTATTCATCTTTGTCTTTCATCTTCCTAATAAACAAATTTTCTGGATCATTGCAAATGGGAGGATTAGACTGAACCGAAAGGTCGACGAACTGTCCAGAAGAGACGTTTGAAAAAGTTCTCTTTAAGGGTGATCCGTATAACTTTCCGTGACATTATAACTTCTCCGGGACGAAGGCCACAGGTTTCACATTCACGGGAAATTTATCGGGGAAGTCCGAAGCTTGAAAAATTTTCCGGCGCGGCACACTTCTTGCAAACGAGCAATATGAATATACCGCGTCCGGATTAAAGTAGACGGCCAAGGGGTGGGTGAGGATGGAGTGTATTCGTTCGAACCTGACTGAGAGTATCCGTCGTACGAGTAATTCGAAAGCCATTACGTGTTATTTAATGACTTCGGAGGGCCATTGTCGCGGATCACGAAGGTTCGTTCATTTCCACCCGCGTAAATGACGGCAGCCTCCCCTCCATATACCCCCGGAATAAAAATCCGGTAGATCCGAATCAGGAGACCGAGGAGACTGCATTAAGGAGTCTCCTCGCCCTATCCATCACTCCCCTGCGGGACATTATTGAAAAATGTGCAATTTGCTCGAAATAAGTATGACGAAGCGACGTCATCCGCGAGTCACATACGCTTCTCCTGCGGGCGGCGACAATTTTTCCATCAGAACCGGGGGATTATTATAGAAAAAGAATATTCCGTGACGGGGTAATAAACTTCACCCGAAAAGAATATTCCGGAACACGGTTTATATTTCACCCAACAACCGCACGAGTTACGGCCATCTTGACGGTCACAGCGGAGGGAATATCCTTACGACTTTTTCAAAATTGTTTATTCAGTGTAAAATATGTTAAACTTCAATTTAAATGAAAATACAAATATTTTATTCAATTTCGTTCCTTGCATGTATATATACATACGTTTATCTGACAGTGAAGGAGATGGGTTCGTTTGCATCGATATTGTCAGATACTGACTTCAAAGATTTTAGGTGTAGTACCTATTTGAAGATCAATAGATGTCTATAGACCAATCCTGTAACGTATAATAGGGTGGATGCACTGGTGACTGAACAAGTATGCGTGAATGAATATTATACATAAAAACGAGTAGATTAAGTTATTGAAATAAGCACATGATTAAATACTGATTTTTTCCAATTCCTTGTTTTATATTCAAACAATTTTCGCACCATTGGTCAGAAATATTCGTTTATTTAATATTGTTCATTCACCGATGAAATCTGTTTTTTTTTCTTTTTAATTTAATTAACTACATTTCCCAATTTTTCAAAATAAAATCTACATGCTCTAAACACGTATAGACACTAACAAATCTAATTTTCATGTACCAAATATCTATTAATACTATTATCAGTTACAATTCGACTTTAATTCCTTGCCTTACGATTTTCTTGAAGTCTACCATCTTCCAAATTACTTTATTGTTACTAGTAAAAAAATGTTATACTTCTATAAAATGTTAAATATTAATGTTAGTAGTATAGTATTTGACTTGGTCTTAAGGAAAACGAATGATATTCATTTGTATTAAATCCCTTATTGAAATCTTTACCACGAGTCTGACTCGATGTTATAAGACAAGCGTTTAATAGCTACAAAATCCCTTAAGTGTCCATTCATTGGTACGTTCACCCTACATGAAAGTTTCTATTTTCAGTTTACTATTGAAGTAAAACTTATTGAGGACACTGTGCTCCGTCGTACACGAGAACGGCGCCATAAACGCGCACATAAAGAATATTCCCTTACAATCTTACCGTACGTCCTAGTAAACAACATATTTACATCGAGCATACATACTACTACAAAAGATTCGCCGTGCAAGCATCCCCTCAGCATCATTCCGATATTCATTCTAAAAAATTTTCACAATTCACCAAACATTACTATCACGCCACCAGCGAAACGTTCATCGCAAGTTGCGACTCGGAACACAAAAGAAAGCGAAGAAGCAAGTATTCCCGTGCGCCAACAGGTGTTTCGTGCTAGAAAATTTCATAAAAAATCAGTAGATAGAACTACGTCCTAATCAACCCTGAAACCATTCCAAAAACCAACGTCCAAACTTTCTCCCCAGTTGGTCAACCTTGCCTCTATATATCGACGAGCACAGCAATTCCAAATTATTCAGGATATCCCTAAAGAGTAGGTAGGTAGGGGATGGAAGCACAGGCCGCGTATCCGCATTACAAAATCTCACCGCAAACCATCGGAGCTTCGACCGCCTCTCTCCCCGTTCCACCCTCCGATGCTGTCTCAATTCCGCCGAGCCCTGTATCGTGGTCGTGAAGGAATTGCCTCCGCCGTCGGTATCGGCGTAGCTCGCCGAGAACAATAGAGAGCCAGCGCACAAAGGGCAAGGATACATCCGCGTCGCGAAGAAGGAAGCGCGCCTCTCGGTTCGCGAGTTTAGCGTTCCCGAGTACCTACAAGGGGGTGCGTTCATCCCGTGAATACACGTACTCCCTACCACTGGCAGCTAGTAGTCAGCAGGATGGGTGGGTGGTTGGCCTATCGGCTCGAGGGGGAATAAGGGAGGGGGTTGCTTGGAATCTATCGGTGGGCCAGATTTCACTGGCACAGTCTCCAGGCTTAGCGGACACACGCGGGGACCGATCCACCCCGCGACGCTTCTCTCCGTCGAAAGGCAACAAGAGCAGACAGTGCCCTCCCCCCTCTCCTTTGGAACGTGTTGTCAGGAGTGCGCGTGCGCGATGGTCAGTGGCTGGCGCTAGCGCACTCGCAGCCCTTCCTCGACGTCCTTTTGCGAGGAAATTGATTCTGCGCGAGGCCAGAAGCCTGCGAGGGAGCACCGCCGGAAGATAGTGCGCCGAGGTCTGCAGATCGCGCGGACACCGCACCGGGGAACGAGGTGCAGTTACCGTGTGGGTAGTTCGAAGCCTCGATAACAACCGAGATCAGAGGATCACGTCGATCGCGTCGGTATTATGTAAGGGAACGGTCGTCGTGCAACCCTTACTCCCTACCCCCACGTTTCGTTGAAGATCGCGGAATATCCCCCGGTGACCAGTGAGAAGAATTCGGAAAACACACAGACACGCGCGAGAAACATGCGAAGAGACGCGTCGCGCCGGCCGCGTAACCACGACCACCACCGACAGGACGATCGTCGACAGTAAGAAGCAACGTGTTTGTGTGACCATCGCCGAGAGGAGCCTCGATGGAACTGATAATTCTGCTGCTGGCTTACATCGTGGGTGAGTGGACCGGAAAAACGTGTCACGAGATTTTTGATTCACCCACGCGTTACCCTTTTCGCCGTCGGAGAACACGATCCTCTTTCGTCGAGTGGTTTGACTCCACGATTCTTCCGGCCGTTGCTCTGTTATTCGTGGATCGACCTGTTAACTAACCGGGTTCCTTGCGCCATGTGCGTGTGACAGGTGCCGTGGATCGGAGAACCAGTAGATTAGAACGTTACAACGTGGTCGGAAACGTGCTCCTCGGGATTTAGGGGGTAGATCGTAATAGAGTGTTATAGAACCAGTCTTGATACACCTGTTAGTTTCCTAGGGGGATGTTCCTTTCTGTTATTTTGCACTCTCGGGGGGGGGGGGGGAGAATGAGATTGAGTCGCGGGTATCGCGGAAGGAGGGTAGAGGTAGATGAGATCGCGGGGCATGAATTTTAAATACGATTCGTCGGGCTGCACGAGGGGGTTGTTTAACCGGCAGAATGAGAGCGTGCAGAGGATCTCTTTGAGGGGATTGAAACACGGTTTAATTTAACTGTGCGTGAATCGCGCCCGAGATTTTACGTCTCCGATCAGACGACCATACTACCCTTCTCTGTGCAAGGTTGTTTCAGATTTGAAAAAGAGGGTGGAGGATTTTTTTTTCCATGATGCTCTGCATTTTTCAGTTGCGGTATTAAGGTAGGAGGGAACGTTGCACGCGGTTGTGTAGAGAGGAAAAACGTATATATAAAGTGGGGTGGTCTAGAGATCGGGGAAGTAGACAACGTCGCACCGTCCTCGACGTAACACGTATTTGTCGTCGACGGGGGTGTGGTAGGAGGGGGTAGGAAGGAAGTTCCTCGAAATCCAGACGAGATTGGCTGAAATCGGTTCCCCGACGGAGTGGACGTTCAATTAAAAATGAACAGGTGAAATGAAGCTGCGCGAACTCAGGATTACACTCGGGTCCCGTCGATTATCGGTAACCCATCCCTCATCCCATTCGACCAATCCTCCTGCTTTGGCCGGATTCCGTGAAATTTTGTAATTTCGCTTCGCTTTACGTGGCGCGATGCGTATCGACCGGACTACTTTGATTACGGAGTGGAAAGTATAAAAAAGGAAAACAAGGGCGAGAGGCAGAGGAGAGAATGAAAAGTGAACGTACGCACGCCAGGGGGTAGGTACATACGGGGGGGTTGTCTCGTTACTGGGGAGGACGGGGGACGTAGGCACCGAATTGCGGGTGGTTTTTTTTTTTGCTTGTAACACGAAAGTCTGTGGTTTTTTTTACTTTTTCTTTTCGAAGGTTGTGCGCGAGATTACACGTCAAGTTGTAAGTAATAATCGCTCGCTGACATGCAGAACTTTATCAGGTTGACGACGGCTGTCCCCGTGCACGAGATTTAAATCTTGCAAAGTTCTGTTTCACGGGTTAATTAAATGATTTCGTATTCGTTTAATGTTCGTCGACGTGCGTTACACGTGGCTTTGTGTTATTTAGAGTTGCATTTCCCACGGTTAAATTAGTTACGTCGTTTCAGGGTGGATTGTCTGACTTTGTTCATAAATTCTGTCTCGTATCCGTTGGCTCGTTTAATTAATTTCAGGTAGATATATTATGATTAATTCGTGGATTCGTGATTCATATAGATTCGGGACATTAAAATGTTTTGGTATAATGTCTGGAGATAATGACAGCGAGCACATCAATTTCCTGGAGAGTATTTGTATTAACATTGACAAAGGACCACGATTGAATGAATTTCCAATTAAATAAATATTTGTAATGAATGTGTCGATAATTACGAGCCCCTGAATTTAACGGCTTCGGATCTTCAAAGGCAGACCCGTCAACTTTGTCTCGCACCTCGCTTGAATGTTAAAATATTAAATTACGTTATTCCATAAACAATACAGGTTTTCCCTTTTCCGAGTTTCAACTTCTTATGAATTCAAAATCTGTGACAGGTTTTCTCGAAAAAGAACAGACCGTGACTATTAAAATATTGAATTACGTTATTTCATAAATTATACAATGTTTCACTACTCGAAATACAAACAATTATAATACAGTCACTCACTTCGTTCATGAAAGGCTGTCACATTTACTTCATCAGATTAACGTACGAAAGTACGAATCTTATCTCAACAAAGAAAATTTATCACCAAACTATGATAAAAGTAAGAATGATGAGGATACGTAAATACAGATTGCATAAAAATTTATACACTCCATTGTAATTTAAACGATATATAAACGAATACATGAATCATCGTATTTCTCAACTTCGTATACATATGTAAAGTCCGACAATTTTTCCCGCCGTACAATCGACCCACGTATACCATAAAATCAGATTCATCGACCAGCTCCGCAGTATCGGAATCATGAAGTAGGGTACATATTGAACTCCTCAATATTTATTGTATTGATACAGTCTCCACTCGAAGTCCTGATTACAAGGAGCTTTATCGAAGCAGCTTTGTTTGCATGGACCATTGCGCGAGCCCAGGAAGTCTGTAACGTTCTAACGGTATTAAACATCGGTTACACGAACCTTCTCTCATCGATCGATCGTTTCCATCGATTCATGTTCAGGTCGATTTCATTCCCCGACGAAACCGACAACGAAACCGAATCGGACAGGACAAACTGAGTGATGCGTCGGGGGTGAACAAAAAAAAAAAAAAATCGCGTGAACACCACCAGTAAAAGTCAGACGTGTCGAGATCGGTTCCTGAATGACACGGGATCGTCAACCGAGCGGTTAAAATATTTGTCCTGAAAACTATTTGCCCCGATACACGTGCGGTTAAAATATTTGTCCTCGAAACTATTTATTTGCCCGACGCAGAATTGAACAGCTCAATTGTCGGTGTACGTTTGCGAACCGAGAATATATCTCATCGGCAAACAAACGGATGTGCCGGGCGCGGCGAACGAGAAAAAAATTAGACAGAGGGAACAAACGAACGAACGAAAATAATAAAAAAAAAAAAAAAAAAAAACAGAAAAAACAACAAAAAGACATAACCGTCCGTGAAGAGCCGAGCGATAGAGAGTAGCGAAATAGGTCGTGAAAAGGCGCGACAGCGAGATAGAGAGAATAAGGGGGTGCGAAGCGAGATGATTCGAAGGCGCAATCAAGAGGATTCTTATCCATCGGTGCATTGAACTCGCGAGATGGAGTGACTGGCTAGACGACGCCTGGAAGGGTCGGGGGTTCCGTCGGCCCGTAAAACGAACAGGCGTTTCCATAATAGAAATTTAATGAACTTGACGAATAATTGTGTCAATGGATAATCGTGTTAACGCCGCTCGAATGAGCACCGAGTTCCTCTCGGCGAGGCCCACTTTCACGGTACCGTTCTTTCTGCTCCACTACTTCTCGCCCAGTTTACAACAAATCGCCGTCGTTTCCCGTCGGCTTATTTCATCGGCACTTTATTGAATTTTTTGCTTCCGCCCTCTATCGCCGTCCAGGAGAGGAAACCCGACGCGGAAAAACCGTATCTACCCGGGTAATTGAACGCGCCCCCCTCCCCTCTTTTCTTCCGACGATCCACGGGGGGCTTTACGACTCCGCGGGCGTCACCGAGGGGATGAGGATGGAGAGAGCAAAACGGGTCCAGGAGGCTTGTTCTACCCAGCCGCGAGCAGCATCCTTTTCAGCGTTCGGGGCGCGACACGCGTGTGCGAGGAGGACGATCTCGAAGTGTGCGGCGCGCACGCGATCTCTCTGGCTGTGACGTGAAATACGATCTGGGGGTTCCTAGCATCGAGCTGTCGATTCCATTGTAGCGATTCTCCATCGACACCGAGCTCTTCTTTTCGTTTTCTGCCCCCCCCCCATCCCCCTTCACTCTTCGATCGGTAGGAGAGATTGTTTTTCCTCTTGTCTTTTGTTTGCTCGAGTCTAGACCCAGTTCATTTTTTTTTTTTTTTTGACCCTATCACGATCTCACTTATACGAGGTAGCCGTACGTAGAGTATACAGGGTGAACCACGAATCGTGATCAGTAGAGGTTACTCTGTTATTAGCAGTCCGATCGAAAATGTTTTTATCAGGTATAGCATGGTTTCAAGAGAGCTTTTACGTGATTATAGTAAATTTATTGTCAACTCTTTTTTTTTCATGATTCTTCAAGGTCATCGTCAATTTTCTTTCAAAAATTTAATTAAAAAGAAAAGGAATACTGTTATGTTATGATACTTACCGAATTCGTCCTGAAATCCTGTAATAGATAGGCGTACAAAAATTATAGGTATATTTGCAAAAAATTGAAAAGGACCTTGAAAAATCATGAAATAAAAGAGTTGACAAAAAATTTCCTATAATCACGTTCAAGCTGTCTTGAAACGATGCTATACCTGATAAAAACATTTTCGATCGGACTGCTAATAACAGAGTAGTCTTTACTGATCACGATTCGTGGTTCGCCCTGTATACGTGCAAGGGTGAAACAAAAAAGGGTTCGTAACTTGTGGGATAGATAGTACTCGCCAAACAATGAAAAGAAATCCTAATAAACATGGATAAAAAATTTAATATTTGCAAAGTTGTGTGCAATTCTTTGTTTTTGTTAAAGCTAGTATTACTAGTAGTAACTCTCGATTCAGGGGCTATCGTGCCGCATGGAAACAATGAAGGGAGTTTCTTTCAGAAAATTGTTCAATGAATCATAAAATCCCAATGCAATTCTGTAAAAAATATGACACAGATAAAGAGAATTTTGGTCAAAGCATACAGGTCTTGTACTGCAAACCGTGAAGAGGGTCCTTTCAAAAGCTGCAAGAATGAAAGAGCACCAGTGGTGCCATATGGTTAAAAAAAAGTATTTACAAAACTTTTTCGTACACTATAAGGCATGTAGAAAGAAGCCCTCGAAACAGTTTTTTCATTTATTTTATAATTTCACCAAAAAAATTCTGAATCTTACATACGATTGTCGGGTCTCCAAGGTAGCTTAACCCCTCGAGTTCGGCGGTGACCTTTTGAATCAGCCTGTATATAAATT